CTCCTCCGCTCCCTTCCCGCAGCCCGCTTGCGCTGCTGTGGGCTGCGCCCAGCCTCAGTTTCCCGCGCTGCAAAGTAGGCGCAAGGGTACCTGTCCTCTTGCTCCAGGGTGCGGGCCGCAGAGGTTGGTGGTAGCAGCATCCTGTATGGAAATGGTTCTCAACCTCATCCCTTCTGCGGGCTTGGCTTCCCCGCAGCGCAGGCGGCGAGGTTGGGAAACATTTGCAGGGTCACAGCTGGCCTGAGGAGGTGGGGATGCCTGCAAGCAAGCTGGGGAGGAAGTCCAAGTCTTTGCGGGTTTCAGCCCTGGAGCAAGCCACTAGCAGAACCTATCAACACCAGGAGGGCAGGAGTTGGGAAACCCTGCCCGGTGGCCCTCCTGCTTGGCCTTGCAGAAGGGCACCCCTTCTCCAAACCTGCGCAATCCGAATCTGCGTTGGAATCCAAGTGTCTGAAAGTGTGGGAAACACGGGTCTGCGGCAGGAGCAGATACTTGGTGTTGTACTCAACAGACTCAGTTAACTCTAGCAGGCAGGAGCTTTACCAGAAAGAGGGATCCAAGAAGAATTCACAGAATAAGACATTCAGTCGATAAACTCCAGGGACAAAAGTGTTGAAGTCTACCCAAAGCCTCCACAGAATAAACGCTACCAGACATGTTCTAACCTCCTCTTTACTGGAAGGCTCTTTGAGTCTGTAAACAAGACTCCCTATTTTGTTTAGACTGTTGAAGTGATTGCTTCATCCCATACAACACTGCTAAGTAGGAGGAAATATTTTTATTTGACTAATTAGAAACGAAAACAAAAGATTGAGGCTCAGAGAGGTAAAGCTGTTTGTCCAAGGTCTAGCAGCTAATGAGGAAGAAAGCTTAGAAACGATTTCAGACCAATTCACTTAAGAATAAGTGATGATCTGCTCGTCCAAATTTGTGAAAGTGACCTTGGGCTCCAAGATCATATTTCTGGGTTGTTCAGCTATAATGAGACTGATTTTGTTTTTTTAAAGACACACAAAAACTAGTCTCTTTCTTTTTTTTAATGGATACAGATAAAAACTCATGAATTCCGGAAGAGGAAAAAGGAGTACTCCCAGAAATCACTAATTAGGATGAGCAGTGTATGTAGTTACGGAATTTGAAATTTGAAAAGCTGCTGGGATTCATAAGCGTAGTGGGTAGACATGGATTTTCTTACTCAGGTGGTCAAGAAGTTTAATTGTCAAATTCCTAATTCTCTGATGAAGAGTCCAGATAACCTGCTCCGAGAAGCTCATAAATTTTAATGCAAACTAAGATGACTCCTTAAAAGATAATTTTTCAAATTTGTAAATGACCATGATCCAGGGTTTCACGCACCATATAGCCAAGCTCCAAAGAGAAGAATGAAACCCCATGTCATATTCCTTAGGGAGAAGTTACCAGTCAGGATCTTTTGGGCAGTTGAGGTAGGTCGCATGGTTTTTGAAGAATTGAGCTGTGCTATTAGCCAGTTCCTCTGATCTTGTCACAGAACTGATTTCATGCCATTTGGAAAGATAAAACCCAGCTTTTTTTTTTTTTTTTCCTCCTCCTCCATGTTGTGCCTTCTTTCTGCTTCCTTACCCCTAACAGTCCTTTGAGGTAATTAGATCTCACAGAACTTCCTCAGAAGTTTACTTTTGCATCCTCTCTTTCACAGGATGTCTCCCATAAAACATGGCTTTCCAAAAATGGACTACTTTATTTCATGTAACTGACCAGAGTATGCCAGTTCTTTAGTGCTGGGTTCAGTATATCCATTGTTTGCATAACAATAGATCGCCAGTGTCTAAGCAGTCCTTTCTTGGCTCCTCTCTTTTGCTTTGGAACTTTGAATACCTTTATCCAGGAAGCTGACCTGGTCAGTGCCATCCCAGTACTGTTTGTACTTCTCAGGGAACTGAAATTGAAAACGGAACCATTTCATGGGGAGTACTTACATTATGAGGGAAACTCCATTAATCAGGAGAATGAGGAAGTGACTGTGCATTTTAACAAAACTTGAGAAAAGCACCATGCTTTCAAAATGATGGTGATGGTAGTTTCCCTTACAAACAAAAAGTACACTTTGCGGGGAGTGGGTCTGTGGTTTTTTGTTTGTTTGTTTATTTTAATCTTTGCCTTTGTGCCCAGGATTGAACCTTGGGCCTCACACATTCTAGGCTCTCACTTCCTCCCTGAGCTCTTCACCACCACTATTTTTATTTTTTATTTTGTGACAGGGTCTTCGTAGGTCCCCCAGGCTGGCCTGGAAATAGTGATGCTCCTGCCTTTTCGTCCTGAGCAGCTGGGATTACAGGCCTATGCCACCTCTTCCATTTCAGATTCATCTTTTGTTTTTACTTAATGCTAGATATCAAGCAGCTGTGAGTTACCAATTTTGACTCAAGTGTCATTCAGAGTGACAAAAGGGAATAAAATCAAGAACAGTGACAAGAAAGATGACAAGTGTCTCAATATCTCAGTACCTGGATTGGGAAAATTACCTAATCTGTGGATAACTGAAATGAGAAAAGATGGGCTGTGTTTCTTTAAAGAACACATTTTGTCCAGGGCGACTTTAAAAATCAAAAAGGAACAGATGAAATTGGTTTGATGTATTTTAACCTAACTTAGTTTTTAGAAGTTTGTCATCTGGTACATCGTCTAAGGAAGTCATTGAATTTTTCCCATTTGTTTTTAATAACTAGATTCTCCAAATGTATGTGTTAGCATATCTCACATGGAACCGTCTTGTCTCAGGTATTCTGTAACCATATCTGAGGAGTAGCTACAGACGCAAATTTGGGGGCGGCAGCAGCTCCTCTCATGTGCTGTGGATGATGGCCATTGTGGAAGGATAGATGGAGGTGGGGTGGACGTTTTAAGAAAATTCAGAATTTGCAATTTGGGTGTATGACATGTGGTGTACATTAGATGTGCTCTCTAGGCGTCTGGTACCTTTACTTAAATCCTGTAACGATCTGGAAGGGGAAGTCATATTTGGCATTTTCATTGCAGAATGAGATATCTATAAATACTGAGTGATAATGAGTCGGTTCTATTTCACAATCGTGTTGTGGAACCAAGACCTGTTCTGTACTCCTTTCCTTTCCCATAGCTGTCTTCTTGCCCATTAATGGCACTTCAGATGGTAGAAGAACCCGCTGCACCGTGGGTCACATGAGACACCCTAAGGTCCCAGAGACAAGGCATCTGTGGAGGGCATGGCGCACAGCCCTGAGAAATTCGTGGTGTGGGAGGGTGACGGTAGCGTGTTTAGTCTGTAGGAAGAATCCCACAGACACCAGCGTGAGTGTGCTCTCACACTATCACACTTATCCTACCTAGGCTATCCCGTTAAACCTTGAGACACCCATAAATCGGAAGACCAAAATAACAGCGCTTTCCATACTATTAGCACATGCCCCGGGAGAAGTTTTGGACGAACAGATACCTGTGTTCTTTTGAACCCCTATGATACATGGAATGTTTAAGAGTGGAGATTGGTACTTCTCAGCAGTAGTTGGTTCCTGTCATTTAATGTTGTGTCATTCCTTCTAGGCAGGGCTTCTAAGAGTATTGGCACATTTCTCAGGGAGGCAAATGCAAACGAAAGCATCTTTCCACAGGCCTACGTGTACTTGCTTGCAGAAGTTCTGGTTGGGGCAACACAGTGACCACATGCTCTCCATTTTGGAAAAACCCCAGCCCCACAGACCTGTATTTTGACATCTGGTCCTAAAAGTCAAGGCCCGGACTGTGGGTGGTACATATTCTGTCCTTGCTCTTGCTCCCCTGGGGGGTAATTGTATCCATGGTTTTATTTTACGTGGGTCAATGAAATGTGAAGGCTAGACTGACATCTTGGAATAGAGGTATCTAAAGCGCCTTCTCGTTATGGTATGATTAGTGATTAACAGTTTCTGGAAAGTATTGGAACAGAGGAAGCATAGGACACCTGCGTTCTTGTTACGGGTCCAGAGACCCTTGGGGGAAGAGGTCTTGTCTTGAGGAGTGGGCACCCTTGAGCTTCTGTTTTCTCACAGACCTGAACCATCTCAACTTGAAGTTTGTTCTTGTGGTTAGCCATTCATTGCCCAGAACCACTGTTCTTGTTTCTAGAATAACTGGGAAAAGGTGAGATTAAAGTTGCAGAATTCTGCAGGTAAATGAGAGTTTTGTCCAGCTGCAATCTGACTGAAACATTCAGCAGATTTATGAGTGCAGGTGTGAAATAAATGTCCTTCCTGTTCTTTCTCTTGTCTTCCTGTTCCTCTCGGTGTGGCTTTATTTGGAATCTTAGCTACGTAGGTAAACTGGATGGAATCAGAGAAGAAGAGTCATCACTTTCTTGTTTGTTATTTTTGGAACGAGTTCTTTGTTCTTTTGTCTCCTTGAAAAGCTGGGTGGTAGAGGATCTATTGGTATCTTTTATATGATTACTTGATCTTTATTCTAATTCTTTTTCCTTTCTTTTCTTAAATATTATTTGAATATCAGTTACTCCCCCATTTGTCAGGGGCAGATGGATATTTAAAGCAGTCTTTAAAAAGCAGTGACCTTCTAAGAAATAGTTGCTGGAAATGTATGAATTTCCAGGTTGCTTGTCAGACCTTTCTTTCCTTGAGGTGTTGGAAAAGCGAGGCACGTTTGTTAATGACCTGCACAATGGTGCCCCCTCCAAACTCCTCTATTGCACCCTGATCCCCATTGCGGTAGTGGTAAAAGGTAAGCAGTTACGTTATGACAGCTGTGTCCTTGCAGATGGGAAGAGTATCCTCTTAAGAGAGTTCTGAGGGAACCTGTGTGTCCTGCCATGTGTGGGCCCAGCAAGGAGGCACCACATGTGAAGCAGAGAGGGTCCCGGCACCCTCACTGTGGCTTCCCTGCCTGCAGGACTATAAGCAATTCATTTCTGTTGTGTACAGGTTATCTAGTCTGAAGTATTTTGTTGTAGCATGAGCCTGAAGTAAGATAACAGCCTGTGTGTAGGCAGGAGATAAGATGTTATACCACAATGAATTGAATTTGAATATAACATTTCCAGCATTAAGTCTAAGTGGTTACTAGTGACTAATAAATGCAGCCTTTAATACATTAGAATCTTTTAGTGTTCTGATGGTAGGGAGATGAGGGTGTATTTGTTTTTTGGTACACATATTTATGATACAGAAGAGCCCCTTCAACTCCTAATGAAGATTTTCTTGGACAGTAATAACGCTAATGCACGTGTACTAAAAGGGAAATGCATTTTCTCCTTGCTTGTTCACAGGTGTGCTATCATAGGACACCATGAGCAAAGTT